GTGACACAAATGTCTTGAACTCTATCTCAGACATCAAACCCGCACATAACCTTTTCTTAAGGTGTATTCTAATAGCCCGTGCTTTAATGGCCCTGCACGTGTATCCCAGTTTAATGAAGAGTACTCCTGTAGCCTAGGTACTCCCTCATAGAGTATAGATCTCATTAAGAGTTTCTATTATCTCATCCTCTTATTACTTCAGGATTCATGCTTTACTTGCATGATCATCTCATATTACTCCCAACTTGTTATTACCCATTGAACCCATTTCTTGGGATCTCCAGTCATTTAGGTCGGGTTACCATCATGAGCAACTCATTTTTCTATAGGCATTAGTCTCATCTTATATGATGTATTATAGACTTTCTCTCTAGCTAATCCTTTCGTCAAAGGATCTGCTAAATTTTCATCAGTGCGTACATGATCCACTCTTACAGCTCCTTTAGAGATACAATCTCTAACAATGTTGTGCTTTCTTCTTATTTGACGTCTTTTACCATTATAATAACGGTTCTCAATTTTTGCAATAGCCGCGGTACTATCGCAATGGATCAACACAACCGACATATGTTTTTCCCATAAGGGAATCTCAGTTAGCAAACATCTTAACCAACTTGCTTCTTCACTAGCAGTCGCTAATGCTATATTCTCAGGATAGTATGTTTCTTTGATTTCCAAGATACAACTCATCTAGCTATGTTGAATACATAGCCCTTAGTTTCTTTGGAATATCTGATAAGGTATTCCAATCTGCATCATTGTATCCTTCAGGTACAATAGGAAATCTATGATAATGTAAACCGAGATTCATGGTCCTTTTAAGGTACCGTATGACTCGCTCACTAGCTTGTCAATATTCATTACTCAGTCTACTAGTAAACCTGCACAACAATCCCACGCCATATGCAATGTCAGGTTTAGTACAATCAATGGAATACCTAAGACTTCCAATGATGCTCTCATGTTCTGTTTGTCTAACACTTTCACCAGTGTTCTTAAACAGCTTCACAATTGGATCATTTAGTGTGCTCACGAGTTTACTGTCAAAGTAATTATATTTCTTTAAGATATTTTTCACATATTGTGATTGATCCAAAGAAATTCCTTGCTCGGATTTTGTGATCTTGATACCAAGAATCACACTCACTTCTCCGAGGTCTTTCATATCAAAGTTGTTGCATAACAACGATGTCATATCATTAATGGCCTGAATGTTTGATCTAAATATGAGTAGATCGTCTACATATAGACATATGATAGTGCAAATACAATTCTCAAATTTTTAACAAACGTATTTGTCACTTTCATTCACTTTGTACACATTCGATATCATTAAGTTATCAAACTTTACATGCCATTGCTTTGGAGCTTGTTTTAGCCCATACAAAGACTTATCTAACTTACAGACCTTGTTTTCTTATCCATAGATCACAAACCCTTCCGGTTGTTTCATATAGATTTCTTCTTCCAAGTCACTGTTTAAAAAAGTTGTTTTAACATAAATTTGGTGTACTATTAAGCTATAAATAGCAACTATTGAAATAAGTACCCTAATGGATGTAATTCTAGTGACAGGAGAAAAAGTGTCGAAGAAATCTATATTTTCTCTTTGTCTAAAACCCTTGGCAACAAGGCAAACCTTGTATTTATCAATAGTTCCATAAGGTTTTAGTTTCTTTTTCAAAACTCATTTACAACCGATTGGTTTGCAACTAGGAGGCAAGTCTACTAAGTGTCAGGTCTTGTTAGATTCTAGAGATTATATCTCATCATTGATAGCTTCTTACCATAACTAAACATCCAGAGATGACAAGGCTTCTTGAAGATTCATTGGATCTTCTTCTACATTATAAGCCGCATAATCAGGCCTATAGTCTTTAGCAACTCTTACTCGTTTACTTCGTTGAAGTTCTGTTTCTACATTGTCGTTGATTTTTGTGCTTCTTATCACATGAATGTGACTCGATTGTGTGCCCCCACTATTTCTCAATTTGAAAGGAAATTTGTCTTCATAGAATTCAACATCAGTTGATTCTATGATCACTTTTGCCTTTAGGTCATAAAACCTATATGCTTTATTGTTTGTTGCATACCGAATGAAAACACATTCATATGCTCTACTAACGAGTTTAACTCGTTTCGGATCCAGAATTCTGACATAAGTCAGACAACCCCAAGTTCTCAAATAAGACAAGTTTGATTGTTTTTTCTTTAATATCTCATAAGGAGAGATCTTACATTTTGACTTGGGGACTCTATTCAGGACTTAGCAAACAGTCAATAAAATTTCCCCCACCAGTGAGGAGCAGCATCAGAATTCATCATAATTGCAACAACATGTTCAGTAAAAGTTATATTCTTTCTTTCTATTTTACCATTCATTGCAAGATAGTATGGTGCAGTCATTTCATGTACAATTTCATGTATAAAATTCATTAATAAACTAGACTCGTACAGTTTCTCTATCACTATACATTCTTATTATATCATTTTCAAATTCTTTACAAAAAATTTAAACATATAAACTTCATTCTTCGTAATGGCGTACAAATCTACCCCAATAGACTAACTAAACCATGTCTTATTTAAAAGAAAACCAGAAACAATATTATTTCTAATCTTAGGAACGTGAATAACGTTCCTTAAGATTAAAGTCTTTTTGAAGGTGAAATTTAGCTTCATATCTACAATTCCAACAACATTCATGGTCTGACCATCTCCCAACAACACTTTCTTATCTTTAGTATTCGTGTATGTTTAAACATAACACGATCATAATAGACACAACGAGAGACACAGTTGTCTATCCACCAACCAATATATCTATCAACCATGTTGATTTCAATGACCATAGCAATAAATTGCCTATTAGTTAGGTTGACCTGTGCATTAGGGACAACACCAAGTTCAACCTTACTTCTACATTTCTTAGTCATATGACTTGATTTTACATAGTTAAAACAAAGAGAAACCAACATCATTTCTTTTAGGTGGTGGTTGTTACCTAGTTGGAGCTATTGGGATCATAGAAGGATTCCCATTCTTAATTCGATTCGCAATATTGTGGTTCTGATTCTTTAATCATTTGCCAAATGGCTTCAGAACTACATCGAATTTCTTTTTGTTGTTTGAAACAACCAAGACTTTTTCTTTTTGATATTGTCTCTAAGATTTCCTTTTTTGTTTTTTTAAACATTTAAACTGTGGGGTAGTTTATCAATAATAAAACCAATTTGAAATTGTTCATTTAAACACATACCTTTTGTGATGATCTTTTAAGCAATCTTTTGAAGTTCGTAATATTGAGCCTCCATCGACCTTACATATTTGCATTTGATACTTGAAGTAGCGGCTAACAACATACTTCTTTGCTCCAGCTTCTACGTCATACTTCTTTTTCTAAGTCTTTCAATCTTGTTTTGCAGTATCACATCAACTGTAATTATCATACAGATCATCTGCGAGTTTATTCAAAATATGATTTTGTAGAGATTTTCATTCTCTTTCTATAAGGTGATTTCTTTACTATGCTGTAAATCATTTGCTTTAATCTGTGCAGCAGATTCAACTTCAACACTATTAAGTGTTCCTTTAAATCTCCAGATTTACTACCGTTAGTTTGTTTGATTGATCCAGAAGGAGCAACAGAGTGTCATCGATCAAAATTTTAGCAATTTTTTTCAACATTAAGAACTTCATCTTTTGTTGCCAACGTTTGAAGTGACTTCTCTCAAACATGAACGATTTCTCAATGACAATATCCGCAAAAGAACCAATAATTTCTTCGGTAGCCGTGGCAGTTTGAAACGTCTTAAAATTGTTGGAATTTGGATTTTGAAATATTTTCCACCGAAGAAATTACCAGGTTGAGTCGTGGACTAGGTCGCTCTCTTTAAGACGTTTCGCGACACTACTCAAAATTATGCAAAGCAGTCAAACTATCGCGCCGCCTCCAGGATAAAACAGCCCAGTTTTATACGGTACGATTACTACTTGCATGATAGATAATCGGTCTAGAAATACACCCTCTGATGGTACAAGACTATTCAAATATGGTATCAACACCACTCGTAGTATCTGGTACAAAGACCAGTCATAATAATTTCTTAAACAAAAAAGAAACTCTAATAATTGTCCAAAGAGAAATTAATAATGGTCATTTGACCACTCATAATAATTTCTCCAAAGAGAAATTCAAATAATTCTCCAAAGAGAATCCAAAAGATTGAGAAATTAACATAATTCTCTAAAGATAATTCAAGAAAATACTCGGAAAATTCAACGAGTAGGAAAAAAGGGGAAGAAGATGGCGCTTCGACAATTCGAGAGACGCAGAGTTATGAGAGTGAGGAAGGAAAAACTAATAGAATAGTTTTTGGTGTGATTTGGAATGAAACATATGCACTCCTTATATACTGAAGTAGGATAGTTAATATTTCTCACATGTACAATGTGGGACTAAATGGTTTTTTCAATCAAAAAAATATTCTAACAATGTGGGACTTGAAAATTTTTTTAATTCAACATATTGAAATATGGACATTAATTTTTTCAACTGTAATTTACAGGGTATTCGAAACAAAGCCCAATCGCCTTTTGTGATTAGTATGCATGAAACATACTGTAAATGAATAATGAATGATTGTGCAGATAACAATGTGTAGTAGACCTTCATTTTGATTAATGCATATAAATAAAGATGGCCATGTTTAGATATGCATGATGGCTATGAGTGTCTTGAATAAATGCATTAAGATCGTGATCGAAGATGCATGACGAGTCAGCAATTCACCACTTGATGATAGTGTAGGCAACTTGAACATTTTACTAAAATTTTGAATGTAACAAAATATGGTCAAATATAGACCAGTCTAAAAAAAAAATCAAAACTTCCTAGTTAAGGAAAAAATGTATAATTTCTAACAAAATTAATGATCAAAAGCAAATATAAAAAGTTGTATAACTCAGACTCCAGCTTAGTTGTTCTAAACTAGCATATATTAGAGCAGATGTCTAAAATCTGGCCCGACATGTTGATGAATCAAATAATCGTCAGCGTTGGGCGTCATATCAAACATCATATTCTGATGTTGTAAGAACTGGTTATGTTGGTGTGGATGGGTCTGCAACATTTCCTTCTGTCTCCGTAGTTCCAACACTTTTCGATGCGAGTTAGAGTGTTTGGTCATCACAAATGTTGGGCTTGCTGCGGGTCTGTATTCGGGCACCAACCGGCCTGACTTGTATCTCACACCACACGCATTGCATAAAGTCTTTGGGCCTTTAGGCCCAGTTCGCCACTGGGGCGTTTTGTCCGTTGCACAATGCAGACATCTGCGACCATCCCCACCTGACCCTCCGTCACAATTGTCCTTTCTTCTTGGAGCAGTCTTTGCCTGCTTCTTTGGAACTGTGACGGAGGGTAGGGTTGGAGTAGGTATAAGGAGTTCTGGCTCATAAGAAGACGAGGCTGCTTCAGAAAGAAGAAGAAGACGCGAGGTCCAGTCGCAAGGGGGCTGACGCGTCCTCTTGCTACGGGCCTTAGCTGGGACTGACACTTCATTATCAAAAATTGGGCTGTTTCGGCCGAGCTGGGAAACCTCACGGGCCTCTGCGTCCTTGTTTTGCACCTTCATGCCTGATATCAGTTGCATCTTTTCAAGTTCCTCACCCGAAAACGAATCATCCACGATATTGGTAAGCCAACCCGCATCTGTTAAATCATCCTCCTATTCCAAATTTCAGCACAATTAATTACTCCTCTATATATATTCTCTCGGAATAGTAATTAATTAGCTCGTAGCAAATACTCATACTAATACAATACCATCACATTATACACATGCAATTAAGCATACACATTGTGTGCTCAGCTAATCCTTTCATGTGCACAAGTTTGTGATAATTTGGTAGTAATAAATGAAAATTAGTTTTCGAACCGTGAAATTTGCCCCATTCTGTTGTATTTATGCCTACTTGTTTTGTTTTTTCCCTGAAATTATTGGAAAAAAAAATTCAAAAACTTCAATTCAAATGTCATGCATATTTGTTATACATGCATTCGTTACAGAGAAATAAATAGTCAGTTTATATATAAATAGAAGACAAACAGACAACAAACTATACTGTTATCCTTTCATTATTTAAAAATTTAAAGAAAAGTAATTGTGATTGGTGAAGTTTTTTTTTTTTTTAAATTAATTATTAACTGTTGATATATATTATAAACAAAAACAGATATATAATGTACCGGAACACAAAGGTCTCCGGAGAAATGGCAGTCAGAGATATTATTCTGCCAGCCATTATCGGGAATAAGATTGGGGTCAAACCCGGAAAATGACGAGGAGTTACAGCTATTGGCGACAGCAGCTGTGGAGGATGAGGCTGTTGAGTTCCCAGTGGCGGAGTCGAGGATGCTGGCATCATAAATAATGTCAGCATCGTCGAATGAGAGGTTAAGGAGGTCCTCAACAATAAATTGGTCTGCTGCCGTGGTGGAAGTGTTATTAGTCTCAGCATTGTTGTTTGAGGGGGTTTGTGGGCAAAAGGTTGTTTGGAAAATGTTGTTTGTTCCCTCCATTCCTACAATATTATTTTTTAAGAGTTTTTGTTATTTTTTCTATTTGAAGCAAAAATTTATGAAACAACAAAAGGAAGAGAATAAGTAAGTGAGAAAGTATAGGGTGTTTAATTTGAAGTATGTGGCTTTTAGTAGAAACTGGTGAGAGAGTAAAGGGGAAGGTTTGTTTTAATACCGCTTGAAGGGGACAGCATAAGCCAAAATTAGATTAAGAAAACTAATAACAAGGGAAGTGGAAAAATTAATTATTTTTGAAGGGAAAAAATGTAATAAGTGGTTTGAAATTTTAAACTAAATTGAACTTTTATTTGGATGATACAATTTTTAATTTGAATTGAAAAAGATTCAAGGGGAATTTGAGGTTGAAGATTCTTTGATGCCTTTTTAGGTTAGGTATATAGCATTTGAAATCTTGCACGTGGGAGTTTGAGTGGTGGAGATAGATTATGGGAGTAGTGGGTTGTTATTTGTTATTTATTTAATTCTCTTTTTTGTCAAATGTTATTATTTCCATGATAAAAGGTAAACAACTTTGAGCCATAGAAATTGTAATGAAATAAAAGGAAACAAAATTGGCTTGGATAAAAAAAAAAACAATTCATAGACCTTTTTAGTGGGTTAATCACTTAATTTTATGGACTAATCAATTTATCAAATTAAAATAGTAAATTTTGAGTTTCGACGTGACCTAATCGATTAAAAGCCTATTTCATTGATTAAAAGGTGTTAGAAATAAATTAACTGTCTAATTGATGAAACAAGTTTTTAACTAATTAAGCGACTGTCTAAATTATTTTTTAAGAAATTTTATCGAAAGATAAGAGAGGTTTGAAAAGAATTTTATATGTGTGTTCATTGTCTTAATACCTCAAAATTTTCTCTTGTTTCTTTTAGAATTAACTAATCAAACTATAGAAACAGACAAGCTTTCACACTTTAACAACTCCAGGACATTAAGTTTCTTTGCTTCACTCAATGTTGAATAACACTTCAAATGGAACTTCAACACATTTTTACTGATGAGACGAAATATTTTCTTCCTGATTAGATGCCATCGTCAAAAAGTAATGAATAACTGATGTTAACTCCCCTTTTGGCATTTATTACACAAAACTCTTGAAAGAGTTATCAACATAAAAAATTGTTTGATTTAAGAGTTGTCATCACCAAAGCTAGTTGGGAAGTTATCATCCAGACCAATCTATTTAATAGTTGTCATTACAATTTGGAGGTTATACCTATACATCATATAAAATCTCATTCTCTCCATTTTTCATGATGACAATTTTATCCAAGTGACTTCAACCATAGAGGAGGAAGAGTGAATTGTGATATTCGAAAATCGAAAAATAGTTTATAAAAAATTAGATTTAAATTTTTTGTATATGTTAGTATAAAAAAACAAAGAAATAGCAATGAAATAATGGAAAGAAGAGAAAAACGCACTGGTAAGAAAATAAATGTTAGGTCTGTGATTTTATGATTGACAACAATTTTGGTAAAATGTGTTTCATTTGGTAAAATATGTATCACAACCAGATGTTGAGCAAGATGTCATGACATATTGACCAATTGTCATAACAGGTGCTGCTATTATTCTTGACAGATTCTGATTTGATTTGGTGAGATTCTCCATGGATATATCTCACATTTGTGTATGTCAAGAAAGTTATTTTTAGAACAAATGATTTTATATCCAGCTGTGCATAAGTTTATAAAATTGGATGTTTAGACAATTTAGTAAACTTGTAATTTTTTGTTCCATAATTCAAGGAGATTTTTCAGCATAATTGGTGCAACCCCCAACTTGTGGATCAACAACAAATTGGGTGAAGCCCGTGGACTGGTGAGGAGTTTATAAAGAAAAACCTAAACCTAATATTAAAAAATAACTTAATAAAAAATAAGGGGAAGTTTAGTTTTCAAGAGTCTTAGGATTTGAGAGTTTTTCAACTGTGTTTTGCTTTTGTATGTCACTCATGTATCTTGTTTGATGCATAGAGTTTGACTGATTGTTCATTATTCATTGTCAATCACTCATGAGTTTTTAGGAAAAGTGTGTATTATGTTTCATTGGAAGCGTGTTCTTCTGTTTCGGTCATTTGTTATTATCACTGAGGTGATTGTGGAAAGTGAGAGGGGGTTCTCATATATAGGAGGTTCCTAGGTAGAAATTGCATAGGTAGTGATTAGGTGATAAGTTGTAAACTAGGTTTATTGAACTTTGAACTAATACTATCATAGTGGATTTCCTTTCTAGCTTGGATGCCTCAAGAGTAGGTGATGTTGCAGTGAACTAGGTTAACAATTTACTGTCTTATTTATCTTCTGCAATTTACTTTCTGCATGATTTATTATTTTTTAAATTGCTCTGTCAGTAGATGATGTCATAACATCTGTCTTGATATTGTGTTATGGTGTTGTGACATTAATTTTAACATTTATCTAGTATACCAGAATTTTAATTGACATCAGAGCAGGCACCCTATTGTGTTTATGGGTGAGCTCCATAGAGAATATTTTCGTGTACTATGGACAAGGAAGGAGGATACAATAACATACCACCTCTATTAGATTGTGCCGACTATGACTATTGGAAGGTTTGTATGGTAGCTTTCTAAAATCCATGGACAACAAATCTTGAAAGGTTGTTTTGAAAGGTTGGAATCATCCTGTTGTGAAGGACAAAGATGTGAATGAGTCTTTGAAGCCAGAAGAAAACAGGTCTAAAGAGGAAGATGAATTTTAAGGGGTAAGAAAACACTTAGAAGGGGGGGGGGGGGGGGTTGAATAAGTGACTCTTTTCGTTTTCAAAACAAATCTCAAATAATAATGGAAGAACACAATTATTTTTATCCTGGTTCGTTTGAACTCAAACTACTCCAGTCCACCCACCAAGGTGATTTCGCCTTTCTCAACAAGGACTTAATCCACTATAATCAACTGATTACAATCACACAATAACTGTTGTGACTAACAATGCACAGGTAAACTTACAAGTGACTAACACCACTAAGACTTAAATCTAGTCCTAGTCTGCTTGAGAAATCTGACCAAACTTGGTCTCTCAAGGAACAAATACAGGAGTTTAATCTTTACAGATAATGAAATAGAGTTTGCTTCTAATCAAGCTATATCACAACTGTGATATTTTACTTAGAATATAATGCACAAATTGTATGAACAATGAGTTTGTGAGCTTTTGGATCTTTCACGTAGTTTCTTGCTTCTTTTGAAAATTTGATTGGTTTTCTTGGTTCACTTCAAGTTGTTGGCTTGCAATAAATGTCCTTCTATTTATAGTAGGAACAATAAGACCGTTGCTGCCTTCAGAAAAGATGGAGAGCATTAAATGCTTTGTGTGTATCCTTTCAATATTCCATTTTCCAAGAAACTAGTTGTAGGCACTTGAGTGCTTTCAGCCGTCTTTGCATTAATGAGCAAACGTCAGAATGTAAGAACATGTTTTCCTTTGCTTTGACAAGACAAGTTGATCTAAACGTTACTTCAGAATTTTCTCCAATGTCTTTAAGTCAGAACATGCTTCACTCATCTTCTAGGCAGTGCGTTGCTTGCTAAGAACTTTGAACAGCGCTTGCTTTCAAGTTATATTCTGAACAAGGAGCCTGCTAGAAGTTAGAAGATATATTTAACAAATAAAGTGTCTTACCAGAGTCAACAGATGCGTTTGAATAAAAGGTTCTTTTATCAAAGAACTTCTTCATAATCTTTGCTTAGTACTTTAGAATGTTTTCTGTCAGAACATTAACTAAGACAATCAAAACACATTCATCAGATCATAAATTATCTTAAATATAATTTAGTTATCATCAAAACTCTTGAGATAGGTCAGAACTAATCTTGTTCTTTCAATCTCCCCCTTTTTGATGATGACAAAAAATTATTTTAGATAAAGAAAAGAAATGGATTAAGAGATAAGAATCTCTCCCTGAAATGAATATTTCTATGCATAAGACATCCTGAGATTATTTAGTCAGAGTAATACACAGCCTTCTTGAATTTCTTCAGAACTTCTTCAAGAAGATAAATCTTAGCTGGAATATTCTTTTAGAGTTAAAGTGATACCTGCAAAAAAAATTCTTTTGCACAGAAGGAATTCTTGCAAATTTGTTAGAATGTCTGAGACTTAGTCCCATAACTGTTAAACAGTGATTAGTTCAAGAATGCACATTTTCTCCCCCTTTTTGGCATAATCAAAAAGTGTAATAAATGAGAAATTTTGAAAGATTTCATAAAAAGTTAAAAATAGATATCCAGAAGTACAAACAAAACATCCAAATAAGAGACAAAAAGAAACTAGGATTTCTTAGTGACAAGAGCCATCAGAAGATTCTTGATCTCAGAGGCAGATTCGTCTTGTTTTGCCATCCAGTTATTGATCTCTAGATTTGTTTGATCTTGCTTATCCATACATTTATTCAAGACTTCATTATCCTTCTTTAGCTCTTTCAGAGTGTCCATAATGAGTGAGGTAGGAGCAGAAGATGATGAAGCTTTAGTAGAAACAGGCTCAGAAGCAGCAACCGTTGAGTCATACTTCACAAAGGTGGAAAGCAGAGTGCCCAGATCCATTGCAAGAGTTAGCACAGGTTCAGGCCCAGCCTTAACAGAAGGTTGATTCAATAGAACAATAGCCAGAGGATTTGAATCTTCAGAGGATTCTTCAGATTCATCTTCTGATATGTCCATCTTATCAACTAGTGTATCAATAATCATTAGCGAAGACTTCTTATTCCAAGTGTCAGCAGCTTCTGTCTTGAAAGCATGCAGAAGTTTGGAAAAGTTGTCCAGCACCTGAAAATGGCACAAGTCCTGTAACTTCTGTGATTCAACAACCAAAGTTCTTCTGAAGGTTTCCCATAGAAGATCTGTTGATGTTGTGTTCACGCTTCTGGAGCAATCTTCTTTCAACGGTTGTATCCATGCTTGAACATTTGTTATAAAATTCTGAAACAAAGTATTTACATCTGGCTGAATAG